TTCCTTTTGAGGGAGAAGGATGATACTAGATTATTATGAGACAGAATTTTGAAATTATGACCCAAGGAAGAATGAACTTAAGTGTCTCGGAAGTGACGACACAGTGCCTTTTTTGGAAGCGGGGATTTTGTTCTCAAAATTTAGTGCTGTCTGATCACCACATGTGTCTCGAATGCCTTCTGTGTTGGCATCGGAGCAGGTGCTGCCTTCACGGGGCCTCCAGGTGATGGAGTGGACGGGAATAGATAGTGTGGTGACAGCGGCAGACTGAGGACTCTGTGGGCACAGGAGGCTTACCCAGCCTGGTTTGTTGGGCACGTGTGTGTAGGGGGGGGTTGGGGAGGCAGGTCCTGGCCCAGGAGCAGGACAGGAGTGGAGGCCAGGTGTCTTCCATTGGCCCCTCCATGTAATTCTTTACCCTCCTCCAGCCAGCTCTCTGGCCCGGAGGCTGACCTGTATGGATGGTACCCACCACACATCGCCCTCTGCTCCAGTGATGGGGGGAGCCCCAGCCGGGGTCTGGAAGGAGGCGAGAGTGAGGCCAGAATACCCACTGCCTGACTCCTTCCACGCTGTGCTGCCATCAGCCCAAGAGATGGAGCAGTAAGCCTGGGGCTACGTGTGGAGTCCAGTCCACTCCAGGCACCGTGAGAGTGACAGTGGTGACGCCCCCCTCAGCAGTGTCTGCCGCGGCTCTGACTGGGAAGACAAGACTGGCCCGCCTGAAACAACAGCAAGTGAACAGGCACTAAATGGCGCGGCACAGGCTGCACGTGTTGGAGGCTCAGAGACCGCCAGTCGGCGGGGCGGGACTCATGGCGCGAGGCCCTTTGAAGCCGGAGGACGGCACAGACCAGTGGTTCTCAAGGTCCCCGGAGCAGCAGCAGCTCCAACCTGGGGACTGCTTACAAAGGTCCCAGGTTCCGCCCCAGACCTCCTGAATCAGGGTGAGGCCCAGCAATCTGTGTTTTAACCCATCTTCCAGGGGATTCTGCTGCACGGAAACAAGCCAAGGAGGTGGAATGAGGCAGGATCTCTTTGTTTGTGGTTTGTGTCGGGGGTGGGGGGCCTGGATGTTGAAGAGCCTGGGTGGGTGGTGGGAGAAAGACAACTGGGAGAGAATGAGCTCCCATCACTGAGGTTGTAAAAGAGCAAGATGACAGCGAGTGGCCTGGAGGCGCGGTGGCCTGGGAGTCGGGACGTGGTCCTCTCCCCGCGCCTCTAGGCCGAGTGTGAAGTGGGAGCCAGACCAGACGTGTTGTCCCAACTGGACAAGATGGTGCATTTCAAGTCGTTAGCACTCTGCGCTCCGCCAGGCACTCCGGTTGGTTCTGGTGGCCTGTACTCGGTGGGACCATTGGAGACCATCAGTGAAGGACGTCAGGACCAGAGGTTTCCATTAATGAACAGGTCAGAGAATGAATGAATAGAACCAAAAACCTTCTGCTGGAGATGCTGACAAGAGTAACAGTGGAATGAAAGACAGACGCCCGGCAAGCTGATGTGTGCACTGTGCACTGTGTCTACTGCCTGGGGCCACCTCGACAGAGTAGCACAAACCACAGAACCTGAATCCCTCGCACTCCTGAAAACCTGGAAGTCTGGAATCAGTCTCCTGGGGCTGAAATCAGGGTGCTGACGGGGCTGGTTCCTCCTGGAGACTCCGAGGGAGAAATCGTCCCATGCGTGTCGCATGTCGCCCAGCCTCCACGGCTGCTGGCCGTCCTGGGCTAGAGGCCGCATCACTCTAGGCTCTGCCTCCGGCGAGCTCCTCCCGTGCGGCTTCACGTGGGCTTTTTATACGGACCCCAGCCATTGGCTTTAGGGCCCGCCCGAATCCAGTATGACCTCATCTCAACCAATTACGTCTTCAAAGACCCCATTTCCTAATAAGGTCACATTCTGAGGTTCTGGGTGGACATGAATTTGGAGGGTCCTGACTGGCTTATTTAAACTTTCTTTCACAATAAAAAAGAGAGAGAGAGGAGGTAGCCTGGTCCTCAGCTTTAGGGACTGAAAAGGTTCAGTGTATTAAAATGCTGGCATTCTAGGCAGTTTTGTCATCGATAATATTATTAAGAGCCTACACTGAGGCAGATTTAATTCTGGAATGAAAAAAAAATTCTGCTAGCATTTGTTAGTAAAGTTTTCATTTTAGGGTTGTTTTAGATTTACAGGAAGGTTGCAAGGGGAGCCCAGACAGTTCCCATATGCCCGATTATTAACATTGTATGTTCATGTGGCATGTTTGTCACAGCCAGTGGAACAATACTGATACACTATTATCCATTAAAGGTATGCTTTATTCAGATGTCCTTGGTTTCTCCCTATGTCCTTTTTCTGTCCTAGGATCTCATCCAGGATTATACTTCATCATCATGTCTCCTTTGGCCCCCCTAATACTAACAGTTTCTCAAATTTTCCTTGTTCTTGGTAACCTTGACCCTTTTGAAGGGTACTGGTTAGGTAGTTTATTGACTGTCCTTCAGCTTCTGTTTGTCTGATGTTTTTCTCATGATCAGACTTGGATTGGGTTCAGGGAGAAAGACTGAAGAGCTGAAGTGCCAGTCTCATCGCATGCTACAAGGGTGTGCGCTGTCAACATGACCTGCCGCTGTGGATGTTGACCTTGACCTCCTGGCTGAGGTCCAGCAGGTCAGGTTACTTCTCCCTCCCCTCTGCACGGCTCTGTTTAGGGGAAGTCGCCCTGCACAGCCCACGCGAGGAGTGGAGAACTGTGCTCTGCCTCTCAGGGACCCAGTGCCTGCATGAACTGCCTGGCGTGCTTCTGCCAGGGGGCTCGTCCTCCTCGCTGACGGCTTCCCTCGTGTGTTTGTGTCAGTATGAACCTGTGGGTGTTTATTTTATGCTCTAGGTTAATACCCAGTGTCATACTGTTTTGTTGCCTAGATTGTTCCAGCTTTGGCTCTTTCCTCTGGCCCCGGCGTCCCTTTGCTGTGCCCACGTCAGTGTGGGTTTTGTGAGCACTTCCTTACTTTCTGGCATGATCAGAGACTCCAGTCTATTCCCTGTCCCAGCCCTAGATTCAGGCATTTCCCCAGGGAGTCCTGGTCCCTTTTGTTGTAGAATGGCATTAGAAACCAGGGTTTGGGCCCTGGGTATCATGGGTTTCGGGTCTCTCAGCAGACAGAGCTAGGAAATAGAAGCATTTATACAATCCATGTATACATACTGGTCTTCACCGGCACGTCCATGTATCTGTGTTTCTATTAAGCCAGACGTGAGTTCACACCAGTGTCTCCCCTCTACTCCATCACCACCTCGTTCACTCAAACCCCCCAAACCCCGCCGCTCGTCTGTAACCTCCGTCTCCAACAGAAGCCCAGCTTCTACCAGCCTCTACACATTTACTAATTGTTCAACACTAGTGTTCACACATCGTGGTTTCAGAATTGTTCACCCACGGTCCCGCGGGAAACAACTTTACCAACTAGAATACAGAGCTTGTATGCTGTTCCTTTCCTAGTCTGATAGTCTCTACTCATTTCCAAAATTCCTCCACCCTGTTCCTTGATGTTATGTTGTATATTTGTAATACAGTTACGTTCTTTTGTCACAGTCTGCAGCCCACTGTGGGGTTCCCCCATCTCCTGATGGATTTTTATTTGCATGTATTAAGATTCACTTTTTGTGCTGTAAGGGTCGGTAGGCTTTGAGAAATGCATAGAGTCACACATCCACCGCTTACAGTATCGCACAGTAACGTTAGCATCCTAAAAAAGCTCTCGTGCTCCACCTAGCCACGCCGCCCCCAGCCTCTGGCACCCGCTGATCTGCTTTCTGCCTCTGTGGTTTAACCTTTTATAGAATGCCATTTCGAATGGACTCAGACAGAATGGAGCCTCTCCGACTGGCTCCTTTCACTTGGCAGTGTGGATTTAAGACTCACCCGTGGTTGCGTGGATCGGTCCATTCCTGTTACCACTGAATCCTGTTCCACTGTATGGATGAACCACAGTTTGTTTATCCATCACCAACTGAAGGACATCTTGGTTGCTTCCAGTTTTTTGACAGTTATAAATAAAGCTGCTGTAAATATTAAACTCAGGTTTTGTGTAGACATAAATTTTCAAATCAGTTGGGTAAATACTTAGTGGCAGCACAATTACTGCCTCCTATGTAAAACTTAGAAGCTTTAGCTTTGTAGGAAACTGCCAGAGTGGCTGTAGCATTTTTGCATTCCCACCGGCAATGAAGGGGGTCCCTGTTGCTCAGTGTCCCGGCCAGCAACTGGCGTGTTGTCTGTTTCTTGGCTTTTAGTTATCCCAATAGGTGTACAGAGTTACCTCATTATTCTTTTAAGTTGCATTTCCCTAATGATGGAAGATGTTGAGCATCTTTTCCTGTGCTCAGCTGCCATCTGTATACACTCTTTGGTGAGGTATCTGTTCACATCTTTTGCCCGTTTTTTTAATTGGGCTGTTCGTTTTCTTACTGTTGAATTCTTAGAGTTCCTTTTATGTTCTGTGTTCAAGTCCTTTACCAGATATGGGACTTGCAAACATTTTCCCCGGGTATACGAATTATCTTTTCATCCTCCTAACAGTGTCTTTCACAGAGCAAAGCAAAGGTTTTTTTGTTGTGTTTTGTTTTGTTTTGTTCATTGTAATGAGGTCCAAGCTAGCAATTTTTCCTTCCATGGATGTGCTTTTGGTGTTGTACCTAAAAATTCATCACCAAACCCCAGGTCACACAGATTTTTCTCCTGTGTTTTCCTCTGGAAGGTTTATACTTTTACATTTCACACTTCATTCTGTGGTCCCTTTGGAGTTATTTTTTTGTATCAGATCTGAGGATGGTGCCTGAGTTCATTGCTCCAAGCTATTGTTGAAAGTCTCCATTGAGTTATCTTTGCACTTTCGATGATTCTGCTAAAGATTTTAAATGGACGTCCCTTTCCACTCTACATAGCTTCAGTCCTGTAAAAAGTTCTCTTGAAAAAGGGAAAGTTCTGATTTCCTTTTCTGCTTGTCTTACAGCAAGACCGCTGGTGCAGACCTTGCCTTTAAGAACCACCGTCAACAACGGCACTGTGTTACCAAAGAAGCCCAGTGGCTCCCTGCCGTCCCCCTCGGGGGCCAGGAAAGAAGCCGCTGTACCTGCCGCAAACAAAAGGTAGGCGAGAAGCACCTTAAGTGGTAAGTTCTGGGAGCAGGTCCAGCTCCATGTTAAAATAAGTATTACTCTTTTATATGGCACTTCAGAATTTCTCATTTGAGTTAAAGCTTGCAAAAGTGCGATACTTGGTATGTTGCCAAAACAAGAACCATATCAATTGCTTCTTCTTTTAGATTTAATCGTTTTGTCTTTGAAATCTCATTCGCTAAAGCCATGGCGGGCCATTTTGTATTGTTACTTAAAACTTCTCTCTTGAAAAAACTAACGGAAGTATAACCTATATAAAAAATGAATATGCTGCTTCCAAGTCTTGGAAGTTAGGAAAATTCAGGTTGCCGTACCGAGTGTGGATTTTTATCAGTAAAATTTGGGTAAACTCATACTTTAAAGTGACGCGTAACAGCGGAGATGCAGGTGTTGCTTTCGTCCGTCAGGCAGAGCATAGGTTGCTCTTAGCTTTCCTGTCGTTTCATAACTGTCATATTAAAATTGTATATTTTATATGCCAGGTCACCATTCTAAATTTTTACGCTCTGAAAAATGAAACATCTGATGATAATATATAAATAATATAATATAAATAATATAATATAAATTCTTGGGCAGTCTCCCTCGTGGACTTGGTGTAAGAGCTCGCAGAGTTCACTGCACTGCTAGCTAGCCTCATGTGCGCTGGGGGCTCGGGGCGTGGGTGTGCTCTGCAGCGCACCGGGGTGCCCACCCGGCTGGTGAGGGTAGGCTGGACGCCGCGTCGTGACTCGGAGTGAAAATGTAGCAATCCCATCTTATATTTTTATTTTTTATTCTGGGGGGAGGGAGGTAGTTGGATTTATTTATTTATTTATTTTTTTTATTTATTTTTAATGCAGGGGCTGGGGATTGGACCTTGTGCACGTGAAGCACGCGCTCTACCACTGAGCTCTACCCTCCCCCGCCATCTTATCTTTTAAATACATAGTGTTTGTAGGTAAAGGCCATTCCTTCACCAAGCAGATTTTCATTGTGCTTCATCAGATAGAGTTTCAGGTACTTATTGTTTGTGAATTTTAAGAAAATTGGCTTTGCAGGGCTTTTTAGAACTCTAAAATGAGATTCTTAGCTTCATTTCTTACCTACTTAATACATGTTTGAGTTATTTACTTATGATCAACACAAAATGACCTTCTGGAATCTACTTGGCAGCAGTTGATACGGGCTGTCTTTTATTCATCTAGATGTTGTAAGATTGACAAGACTGACTTTTTTTTTAAGTTTTAGGTTGCCATCTGTTACCATTTCTTTCCTTGTCTTTTAAAATTGTGGCAGAAAACACATGACATTAAATTTACCGTCTTCACCATGTTAAGTGCACAGTTCAGTAACATTAAGTATATTCTCATTTTTGTGCAGCAGATCTCCAGAGCTGTTTCATCTGGCAGAACTGAAACTGCACCTATTAATACACAGTAATTCCTCCCAGAGCCCTGCTGACCGGCTGTTCCCTTCTGTTTCTGTGAGCTGACCACATCGATACTTCCTATGGGTGGAATCGCACCGTGCTTGCCCTTTTGGACTTATTTCACTTCGCAAAATTTCCTCAAGGTTCATTCATCCTGTAGCGTGTGACAGGACTTCCTTCTGTTTTAAGGCTGTGTCACATTCCACTGTACACGTGTACCACATTGTGTTTGCCCATCCATCTGTCAGTGGGCATTTGGGTTGCTTCCGCCTCTTGGCTATTGTGCATAGTGCTACCATAAACATAGGTGTGCGGATGTCTCCTTGAGTCCCTGCTTTGAATTCTTTGGGGTATCTACCCAGAAGTGGGATTGCCGAGTCATATGGTAATTCTGTTTGTAACTTTTTGAGGAACTGCCGTAATGTTTTCCATAATGGCTGCACCATTTTACGTTCCCACTAACTGTACACAAAGTTTCCAATGTCTCCTCATCTTTGCCAACATTTGTTATTTTCTATTCTTGATAGTGGCCCTTCTAATGGGTATGATGTGATACTAGTGTTTTCATTTGTGTATCTGTTATTATTGTGGTGAGCATCTTTTCACATGCTTGTAAGCCATTTCTATATATTTTTTTGGAAAATTTTCTATTCAAGTCCTTTGCCCATTTTAGTTGTTATTCATCTTTTTGTTGTTGAATTGTGGTAGTTCCTTTTACATCCTAAATATTAATCTCTTACCAGATACATGATTTACAATATTTTCTCCAATTCTGTAGGTTGCTTTTTCACCACATTGATAGTTTCCTTTGCACAGAAGCTTTTTAAATTTGGTGTGGTCCGATTTGTCTATTTTTGCTTTTGGCGTCATATCCAAGAAATCATTCCCAAATCCAATGTCTTGAAGCTTTCCCCCTATGTCTTCTTCTAGGAGATTCATAGTTCTAGGTCTTCAATCCATTTTGAGTTAATTTTTCATACAGAATAAGGGTCCAGTTTCATTCTTTTGCACATGAATGTCCAGTTTTCCCTGCACCATTTGTTGAAGAAACTGACTTGTCCCCATGTGTAGTATTGGTGCCCTTGTTGAAAATCATTTGCCCCTATAGACAAGGGATTATTTCTGGGCTCTCTATTCCGTTCCATTGGTCTGTGTTACCTGTCTTTATTCTAGTACCACACACTCTTGATGACTTTGCTTTGTAGTATGTTCTGTAATCAGGAAGTGTGATTCCTCCAGCTTCGTTCTTCTTTTTCAAGAACTGTTCTGGCTATTTGGGGTCCCTTGACATTCCATATGAATCCTAGGATTTTTTTCTATTTTTACAAAAAAATGCCATTGGTATTTTGATAGGGATTGTGTTGAATCTGTGAATCACCTTGGGTAACATGGACATTTTAACGTGTGAAGTCTCCCAATCTCACAAACATAGGATATCTTTCCCTTCTTTGTGTCTTTTTGATTCCTTTCAGCAGTGTTTTGTGGTTTTCTGTCTACAAGTGCTTCACCTCCTTGGTTAAGTTTATTCCTAAGTATTTTGTCCTCTTTGATGCTATTATAAATGGGATTTGTTATTAATTTCCTTTTCAGATTGGTCATTGGTAGTGGATAGAAATGCAACTGACTTTCGTGTTTTAGTTTTTTATCCTGTAACTTGGATGAAATCATGTATTAGTTCTGACGGCTTTTAGGAGGGAATCTGTAGGATTTTCTACATATAAGATTATGTCATCTGCAAACAGAGGTGATTTTACTTCCTCCTTTCCAGCTTGGGTGCCTTTTATTTTTTTCTTGTCTAATTGCTCTGGCTGGGACTTGCAGTACTACGTTCAGTAGCAGTGGTGAGAGTAGGTCTCCTTGTCCTGTTCCTGACCTGAGAGCAGAGGCTTTCAGTCTTTCACCACTGAGTCTGATGTTTACTGTGGGCTTTTCTTGTATGGTTTCTACTCTGTTGAGGTAATTTTCTTCCATTCCTAGTTTGTAGAGTGTTTTTATCATGATGGGTGTTGAATTTTATCAAGTGCTTTTTCTGCATCAATTAAGATCGTCATGTGGTTTCTGTCTTTCATTCTGTTAATGAGGTGTATTTTATTGATTTTCCTAAGTTGAACCATCCTTGCATTCCAGGTGTGAATCCAATTTAGTTATGGTGTATAATCCTTTTAATGTGCTATTAAATTCAGTCTGGTAGTATTTTGTTAATTTTCACATCAGTATTTATCAGGGATATTGGCCTGTAGTTTTTCTTGTTGTATCTTTGTCTATGTTTGGTATCAGAATAATGGTCTCAAAGAATGAAGTTGGATGCCCCCTCCTTTTATTTCTTTAGAAGAGTTTGAGGAGGGTTGCTATTAGTTCTTTAAATGTTTGGTAGCATTCCAGAGTCATGCCATGTGGTCCTGGGCCTTTCTTCGTTGGGAGATTGTTGATTACTGCTTCGATGTCCTTACTAGTTACAGGTCTGTTCAGAGTTTTTAATACTTCATGATTCAAGCTTGGTAGGTTGCATGTTTCTAGAAATTTATACATTTCTTCTAGGTTATCCAATTTTTTATTTAATTTCATAGTAGTGTCTTATAACCCTTTTTATTTCTGTGATATCAGTTGTAATAAACCCTCTTTTGTTTCTGATTTTAGTTATTTGAGCCTTGTCTCTTTCTCTTAGTTTAATGGAGAATTTGTCAATTTTGTTGATCTTTTCAAAAATCAACTCTTGGTTTCATTGAATTTATTTTCTATTGTTCTTTTTCTATTTTGTTTATTTCTGCTGTAATCTTTATTATTTCCTTCCTTCTGCTAACTTTTGGCTTCATTTGTTCTTGTTTTTCTACTTCCTTGAGGCATAAAGTTAAGTTGTTGATCTGAGATCTTTCTTCTTTTTTTAATGTGTTTACAGCTATAAACCTCTCTCTTAGTAATGCTTTCTCTGCATCCCATAAGTTTTAGCACATTTTGTTTTTGTTTTCTCTTGCCTCCAGATATTTTCTAAATTCTCTTGTGATTTCCTCTTTAGCTCATTTGCTGTTTAAGAGTGAGTTAATTTCAAGGCTGACTTTTTAAAGTAGTAAATAGGTAATGAAAAAATGAGCTTCTTTTACTTTATTCTTGAAAAAAATAGAACTTTAGAATTCATATCTTTATATACTTGGAATTCAAGTAAAAGAAAAAATTTTTCAGAGCATAAATAACAAAAGTAAATTTTGAAAGGTAGATACAATTTCTGACTTTCATTTCATTTCATGAGAGCTTATGTCAAGCATTCTAGCACTTTGATTTTGTAGAAGGCTCTGTGTTTGATCCAAAGTAACTTTGATGTAGTACAGTAATGCCCTTCACTTCATAGACTGTTTATGGTTTTCTTCAACCTTGCAGGATTAATTGACACAATTGTTAGAATCCTTGGCAAACTGAGTTTTGAGTTCTAGTATTGGGAACATGTATTCAGGATAGGATCAGGCTGGGGGTGAGATTCATGAGGACGACTGCAGGGATGCGGCTGTGCTGGGAGTCCAGCTGATGCTTTCCCACAGGGTGTGAAACAGACAAAGAGACACAGTGG